ATTACTGTAGCCTCCGTTAGTGCGCATGCCAGGGAAAATGCATTTTTGCAAATCCTCTTCAAATGTCCCATGCCTGCCATCGTTTTTAGACATGCTACAAAAACCCTCACGTTCTGCTCACTTTTAACAACGTGCACAATCCCTTGTGCCTGCCACGCGAAACGACATCCGAACGCCCAAAAGTGGCCCGAACCCCTGGTGATTTATTGTTTTGACTTCGAAATGTGTTTCGCGCCACAAATTGACAAACGGCGTACACTTTTCCAACATCTCAACTAGCAAATGCGCTTCGCGCCACAACGGCGTGCACTTTTTCGACATCTCAACTTCCAAAAGTGGTCCGAACGTGGTGTGTTTTGTAAATTTTGACTTGGAAATATGCTTCGAGCCACAATGGCCTGCACCGACATCGCAACTTCTAAAAGCGCTCCGAAGCTGATGTGTTTTGTACATTTTGATTAGAAAATTATTCATCTCTCATTTGGCCAGCTGGCTCCGCTCCCGCCGCTTTAGCGAGCCTACTTTTCGACCCTCCGGAGCCACAAATCATTGGAAAAACACAGTGTTTCGCGACTTTCCTACCTTTTCGCGCACCTGGATCTTCTTTCTTCTGAGACTTTCTCTTTTGTGATCTTCTTTCTTCTTCTCTTCTCTTCTCTTCTCTGACTCTTCCCATCTCTGCTTTTCATCTGTCCATATTGTCGGAAGTTTGACTTCTAAACTTCCTTCGCATATCAACATTACCAGTAGTACCGCGCAAGGCGGTGGCGGAAGTTTCAAAAATAGGAAACCTATAGGAGAGCTTGGTTGTTGTGAATCAGGGATGGCAGAGCGAAGCCACTGATGGACTGAAAGGTGCTTGATCTCTTTCACTCTTTCTCTCTCTCTCTCTTTTTCTCTCTGTTTCTCTATCTTTCTCTGATTATCTACCGACCTACCTCTGATCTATCTGTCTACCTATCTATCTGTCTGTCTGTCTATCTCCCTATCTATCTATCTATCTACCTATCTATCTCCCTATCTACCTACCTACCTACCTACTATCTATCTATATTGTAGTATAGTGTAATGTAGTGTAGTGGAGTGTAGTGGAAGATAGCGTTGTATAGTGTAATGTAGTGTAGTGGAGTGTAGTGTAATGTGATGTAGTGTAGTGTAGTGTAATGTAGTGGAGCGTAGTGTAGTGTAATGTAGTGTGGTGTAGTGTAATCTAGTGTAGTGGAATGTACTGGAGTGTAGCGTAGTGTAATGTAGTGTACTGGAGTGTAGTGTGGTGTAATGTCCTGTAGTGTAGTGTAGTGGAGTGTAATGTAGTGTAATGTAGTGTAGTGTAGTGAAGCGAAGCGACATCTGAACCACCAAAAGTGGTCCGAACCCCTGGTGTTTTCAACATTTTGACTTCGAAATGTGCTTCGCGCCACAACGGCGTGCACTTTTTCGACAGCGCAACTGCCAAAAGTGGTCCGAAGCTGGTGTGTTTTGTACATTTTGACTTCGAAATGTGCTTCGCGCCACAACGGCGTGCACTTTTTCGACATCTGAACCTCCAAAAGTGGTCGGAACCCCTGGTGTTTCTAACATTTTGACTTCGAAATGTGCTTCGCGCCACAACGGCGTGCACTTTTTCGACATCACAACTGCCAAAAGTGGTCCGAACGTGGTGTGTTTTGTACATTTTGACTTCGAAATGTGCTTCGCGCCACAACGGCGTGCACTTTTTCGACATCGCAACTGCCAAAAGTGGTCCGGACCTGGTGTGTTTTGTACATTTTGACTTCGAAATGTGCTTCGCGCCACAACGGCGTGCGCTTTTTCGACAGCGCAACTGCCAAAAGTGGTCCGAAGCTGGTGTGTTTTGTACATTTTGACTTGGAAATGTGCTTCGCGCCACAACGGCGTGCAATTTTTCATCTCTCATCTGGCCAGCTAGCTCCGCGCCCGCCGCTTTAGCGAGCCTACTTTTCGACCCTCCGGAGCCACAAATCATTGGAAAAACACAGTGAATCGCGACTTTCCTACCTTTTCGCGCATCTTACTCTTTCTCTTCTACTCTTCTCTCTTCTAATCTTTCTCTTCTCTCTGCCTCTTCCCTGCTCTGCTTTTCATCTGTCCATATTGTCGGAAGTTTGACTTCTAAACTTCCTTCCAACATAATTAATTAATATTAATTATATATATATAATTATTGGGTGAATATTTTTTCGTTATTTTACAATATTCTATATTCCTTGATATTGATGAGTGAAGGAGTGCTCAACAGGTTGGTTGCTCATTGGCCGGCTAAGCTCGAGCCTGAGTCACCTTCTGGAGCGCTTGTCAATCACATGTCAATTACAATTAACAGTTTCATCATGGTTCATTTGATTCCCCAGTCATTTCAATGATTGTCAATGTTTTACGTGCATTTTTCATGTTTACAGGTGATTTTAAGGAATCCTGGAACGAACCAGAACTAAGCATCGACAGCCATGGATATCTCCATCTGGTACATGCCGTAACTTTACAGTACAACCTGACGCTGCATTACAGCAGTGCCATGGACCAGAAACTCCGGCTGTGGCAAACCAAGAGGCCCGCATAGGGACATCATACAAAAAAATCCTTCAGACTTCAGAGGTTGAAGAATGGACTTGTCTTGCATTCACCCACATCAATACAAAAAGCTAAAAATCAATGTCGCTGCTCTATTCTTCTGTGGAACGCACATGTGCCAATGCGGCAGCCATTGTCGTGCGAGTCTTGCATTCCCCACCCTCTTGGCCAGCTAAATGTGGCGCTGTATTTGTGCAATAAGCTGCAATCGCATTCAGCCGGCTCAAAGGAACAAAACTTTTCAAAATTTTCAGAGTTCGGAAGCACACAAGCATTGGGGATCGCTGGGGAACAAGCTTTGTTGTACTGTTAGGTGCTGTTGCTAAGTATTGTCCTCCGTGCTTATGGCTGCCTGGAAATCTAGACATTCTGAAGCTCAATTGCCTTAGGGTATCTTGGGGTGGTTCTAGCACCCTCCGAAGGCATTGAACTTCCTAAACAGGCTGAACCTTGGAAAGCTTTCCCATGCTTACTCGATCGCTACGTGAGCTTGAGTTGGGCTTGGGATGACCAGGTTCAGTCGGATTCCTGTGTCCATTTGGTCGAGGACCCGACTGTGCCCAAAAGCTTTGGCTGTTGACGCTGCTGGTGCCACTCCAAGTGCCGCTGCACGTACTTGCTGTAGCGCTGTGTGTCTGCGGGCACTGTGGTGGTTTCAAAAGGCTTCTTGTGTCCTTTTGAGCACTTCGGACGGCAGATCCATTACTTGACTGTTTGGAGCTTACTTTGAAGCTCCCAACCTCAGGCACTCTGCTAGCATTGCTTGAAGCGGAGGTTCTTCCTGACACAAGTGAGGACATGCTCACTTCAGCCGCGGGCTGGGGACACTTCTCCAACTGTGGCTGCAGGTTGAACACGGGAGGTTCTGCAACCTTGGACTTTTTGCTCTGCTTCTTGAGACTTTTCGCAATACTCTCCCAGTTGAAGCACACAATGCCAATAACAGCTGTGCAAACCACAACGCCACCGAAAAGTAGAGCCAGTACTCCCAGGTGCAACATGAGATCCCCATTGTCCTTCTCAGTTGATGGAAGTTGTGTTGTCAACTGCTTAGCTGTCTGTCCCATGTAGTTCTCCAAGACAGGAGGTTTCCACGTCCACTCACTTCCTTCCTCGCCTATTGGGCCTGTTGACATTGCCGCTACTGGAACATGTGGTGCACGTGTTGGGTCTGGCGCCGGTGTTACTAAAATGCGTGCGGATGACGCATTGCCAGCCAGAGGAACGACTCCACCACTGGTGCCTCCAAACTCTCGCCACAGTTCCTCTTGCTCTTGTGTTTGACATGCACACGCACAGCCACTTGTTGCATAGTGGTGCCCACCTTCACAATGGAAAGCGCATGACCACATGAACGCCTGGCCGTTTGTCACATCTTTGTATCCCGGCCTGCAGCGGGGAACAACAGTGTTCATGTCGCTTGTGCCTGTGCTTTGCAAGTTCCGGGCCCCACGGAGAGATATTCCAAGGAGAGATCTGCTGGAGATGTCTGCCATCACAGTGATGAAGCAGAGGTGCAGCGAAAGGAACTTGAATCCAAGCGGAGCCGGCGGGGCCATGAGTGTTCCGAACATGCCTCTAATTTGTGCCGGCGATTCAGTCACAAGATGTCAAACTCAATTCTTGGACCCAAAAAAACTGGAGCCAAAATTCACCAGCGATTTCCTCTGTGAGATCTTGTTGATAGCACAAGGCCATACCATTTATTTCATCACGTGATATGATCAAATAGCTTTGCGTGTAAGCCGCTACTGTGACTACATAGTCATTGCAAAATCAGTCATTCCCAAAGAATCACGTTTGGAGAAGGATCAATATGTCTGTTAATTACAAGCGGTCAAGCGACGCACGGACAGAAGAAACCAACCAGAAAAAGAAACAAACAAAAAGTCAAACAGAACACAAACAAGCAAACAGATTTGCAATATCAAGTAAAATGTTGCAAAGGGGTCGAACCAACAAATACGAACAAAACTAATACAGCAACATAGACAAACTAGCGTTGGCATCCGCCTGGCCCCACTTGGAATCGTATGAAACATGCACAGAAGAAATGGCCAACAAGAAAGGAGTGTGCCACCTGCTTGTTGCCCAATCATTGCTATGCATGCTAATGCTGAACGCTTTGCATTTCCGTCCTGCACGTTCCTAGCCTGGTTAATGCTTACATATGCTTACTGCAATGTGGAGAAACCGCGTAAAATCGCCATGCGATGGATTGGGATTTCAAAGGCCAGTTGCAATTGACAGCAGGTTTGAATACAAATGTGCGTCGAAGTGAGTATATATGCGCACATAATTGCAAAGAATCAGTGGGGTGAGGGGTGGTTTCCCTTGTGGGCAATCTTGAAACGGGGAGCAAAGGTTGCAAAAGGTCTTGCGGTTCAATATGTTTTGGCTGCATTGCAGTAGATTCTTGGCCCAACTGAAGGCTGAGGATCTCTTGGTCTTTTTCTAGTAATGGGCTTCGTGTAAACTTGTCATCCGATAGCACTGAGATATGCATGATGTGTGGTCGTATGATGTTGTATGTGGTTGCAGCCTGCCATCGGTTGGCCTTGTCCAGTCGATCCTGCCGTCTCACACCTGCTATCTGGCAGCCGGGCTGGTGGGATGTGCTTTCAGCAAAGCCACGAGCCGTTTGCAAATGTCCAGCTTGATATGAAACCGGCAGTTTGACAAAAACAGGTTGCGTACAACCAGTGAATGGCGAGCAGTGGTGCGGCCGATGGTCATTACAACTTTTGCAGATTCTTTCAGACTCTTCACATTCCCGAGCCGCCATGTGCTGCCCATGCCCTGGAATGTTGCGATGTAATTGAACTGCTCCACAAATCAGCGCACCAACCAGCTGTGACACTCACTTGGGTTTGTGAAACAGTATTGCCGTATGGCATATATTGCCGTATTGCCCAGCACCTACAAACTAGCGCTGAATTTACGCCTGCTATGGCCGCTAGGGGCCTTGTTCATCATAAGGGCTCGGCTAAAGTGACTCAGCTGAGAATGCCCCTCGCTGGAATTCTGCCACTATGACAACGCATGCAACTTCCCTCTAAGAGACACTCAGCCAAGCCTGCTCTCTGCCCCAAGAGGCCCACTGGTGAGGCTGCGTACATCTTGCTGCAATTGCTCCATACGGTGGGTCATATCACGAACACGCAACAGAATGTAGATAACGTCACCTCAGGAAAACACAACTATTTGCAACTGTCACATTGCTTTTTTTTGGGGGGGTTATCCTCGGTTCAAAACTAAAAAACTGCACATCCGTCACAAGCGCAATGCCAATGCGATCAAGCTGCCTTTGGTCACTTCACCTCGGAGACTCAACAGGCCTGTGAGAAGCTCATGTGGAGACAATTCGCCTTGGCGCTGTGCTTGGAACGTGGCCAATCTTATAGTCACAGATAGTCACAGTCACGGTGCAACAGGTTGACCCACGTGGACGGTACATGTTGAAACAATATGAAACAATGTTGTTAGTTGTTTGGAAACACGTTGCAACATTCGCTTCTGTAATCTTATGTAATCTTCTGTACCCCTTTGAGTCCAGCTTTAGCCCAAGACCCCCTAAATCAACATCGAGGATGTTGAACAACTCGAATCTGTTGGAGATGTCTACCTCAGGACGGCAACAGCAAAGAGATGTAAAGAGATGAGCAACATGGCACACACACATATAATATACATATATGTATATATATACATATGTTAATATAATATGCATGCAAATGTGCTACTTCGTCAAAAATACAAATGCGATTACATAATTGCCTTCGAACTGTGACAGCAAAGAAGGCTATCACAATGGTCAAGGTGTTGTAAGTCCTGCCAACATTTCTTGACAAGAAGCATCTGCCTCATCCAGAATTTTGACAAACTCAGAATCCCGGAGCCACGCTTGGAAAATTCCACGCGTGATGTTGATGTTGCATTCCTTGGACGCCAAATCAAGTCAAAGGCGAATCCAAAGCTTCATAAACAGCCAAGTGAAGCCAGCACATACTGTGCGTGATTGCATGTGCATGTAAATTTAAGTAAATTTGATGTGCATAAAGATGCATCGCTTGCAACATAGCCGTAGAAGGGGGTTTTGTTTTTGCACGTCCAACCCACTTTGGAGCTGAGGGATAGCAAACAGACCTTGACCCACCAAAGGTGCAAGCTCGAATGGGATCTTGAACACTTGCAGGTTGATGAGCCAAGAGTCCTTCAGCAGCTTGAACCTCTTGAGCCATTCAACAGAATAGACAAGTACGTCAAGGCATCAGCCAAACCCGGCAACATCATTGCTTTTCTAAGTCACGGATACTCACTGCACTACATGAACACACAAGGCGCATTGACTGGACAGTGAGATAGTGCGAATGTTGACAGGCCCGGGACAACCTGCCAGGTATGGACACATGGCCACGGAACACAGTAGAAGACAATAGCCGAAAGAGGCAAGCAACGCTTCGTCTGCACAAACCCGTTGCTCGAGCTGGTGCCGCTTTTTCGCGACATCTGTCAAGTTGGAGAGTTTGTTCGTGACGTCTTCGGAAAAACCTTGGAAGGGAAGCAGGACTTGGCATGGCTTCAAAACAGCACTAATTGCCATGGGCTGCCCCAATGTGCCCACCTACATTCCCTTACCCATCGAGTTCCATCGAGTTCCTCATGATCAGCCAGGCCGCGCCCCATCATGTGTGATGAAGCTTTCGACGATGTGGGTTCATTGATGAACCTGCCCCGGTAACGCATAGGGATGGCAATGGCTGCATGAAATTAGCAACTCACCAAATTATATCAAATTACAACACTTCTGGATACAGATACAAGATCTCTAAGAGAAGAGCCAGTGCACAGAAACGAAGGTGGCAATGAGGTTCAAAATCAGCATGATGGCGATGACGACACCGACAATGATCATCCCAAAATGATCCAAAATGTGGATAAACATGGCATCAACGTCTGTAAGAGGCCGTGTTGATGATGACATAGGCGAGTGACATTATGATTCTTCAAGTGTCCAAGAATGTGGTAATTTGCATATATTTGATTTTCTTCATCAAACTCGTGATTCATTTTCTATGGAAGGGTACCTGAAAATTGGAAATTTGTGTGTTTTACTGCAACGACAGTGCCATTTTGTTGATTCAGGTCCTTCTTGCAAAAGTTTGCCGCTTCTCTTTTTCAACCGCAAAGTGTGCCAAGTTTGTTGAGGTGGCATGCATGCAGCATGATGTATGTGTGAAAGTGCAAAAGAATCCATGGTAGAGTAGCGTAGCATGATGTATGTGGGGAAGTGCAAGAACGCACAATAGCGTAGCATGACGTATGTGTGAACGCACATCAGCATGACGTTTGTGTGAAAGTGCAAATGAAGGTTATTGGCCCGCCCCACCCCACCCCAACCCACCCCATCCCACCCCCCAAAAACGTCAACAGCATCGCCCCTTACGGGCGTTGACACCATATCAACATGGATAATCATGACGTTGATGACACACTCTAGGACAATATGGATAACGTTGTGGCAAGTGGTGATGATGATCGTCATTATGACGACATATGACGACCATGTTGAGACAGGTAATGCCACTGATGACACCAGCAAACTGCTGCATTGGATGATGCAAATGATGCGGAAAATGGTGATAGCGCCGACAGGAAGGGCGGTGATGATACCGCATTGCTGACAGAGACCAATTACATCAGTCACACTATGTTATAATGACAACGACATTGAGTACAAGAAAGATGAAGATGGACCTGTGTGGATCTGTGCGGCCCCTTAATGAAAGGTACACTCTTGTCTTAACTCGAAGTCAGCGAATGATCCGTGCCACACTTACACGATGAAAGTCTACCTTTAGTGATCTAAATGGTGACGCAAACGCAATACCTTGAGACATATAGCGCTTGAATCCCTTTTTCCAATCATGTATGGTGTTGCAATATATTGGAAATTTAATAATTAATCGAATAGTTCAAGGATTGGGTGAGATTGAAGTCATGATGTATTTACGCTAAGCTTGGCAGGCAGAACCTACCAGCCCTTAGGCCTGGCTAGTAACATCTTCAACTTTACTTCCGTCTCAATTGCCGAATCGCCTGAGCACCCCACAGGCACGCAGGCCAACAGGCAACAAATTATGCAGGTTTTGACCAAAAAATAGTTTGAAAGATTGAAACAAAACCACACAGTTTTGACGATCTTCTGAGAGCGCTGCCAAGCTCTTTCTGCTTCCGCTGGTTCCTAAGTTGTTGTGCCGGGAACACGAACCTTGTGGCACCCCATCTCCGACAAAGTAAGTCACTTTTTCTTGCAGCTTCGACAGCTTTACGCATGCCTAGAAGTGCTTTGGCCCAGTCATCATTCTCTGTACACACGTGCACAAACACACATGCAATATAACATGGAGACAAAACATGCAAGTACATGATACATCTGCATGTGCATATGTATATTGTATTATGTATAATTGAAGTAATTATAAACATCTTTTTATTGTTGTAGGACAAGTAATAATAACTATGGATGATGCTGGTTTCCCTTTCGGTCTTGCAACAATCTCCCTTTGCCATCTCCCCGAGTTGATGCACAAGTGAAACCAGGCAGCTGCGATTTTGTCACGTTGTCAATGAACACCGCCTTGAGGTGCTAATCATGTTGTATCTGTGACAGCTAGCGGCTAGGAGCCGACGGACTTCAAGAATACTGAGCTATCAACCAAGATAAGATTGAATAGACCTGCGCAAGGGAATATCAAGCAACAGGTGCTAGAATGCTTGAAGATGCTTGAAGATGCTCGAAGATGCTTGAAGATGCTTAAAGATCAAATCGCACATGATAGCTCCTTCCAGCGTCCAACTGGCCATGCCAAAGTTGCTAGTGAAGCAGTGTGAAGCAGTGTGCTGTGTGACTGCGCTGCCTACTGTGACCAGCATCGTGACCAGGATATAGCCTACTTGAAAGTAGAAGCCGCCCCTCAGATGGAGCTAAACCCTCTAGAATTGTCAGGCTAACGGTGTCCCTGAAACCTGGACATGCTGAACGCAGGAGCATCTCTCTGTGCAAATAAAAAATATATAATCCCAGTCACTCTGCAGCACAAATAATAACAAATTGAATAATTAAAATAAATATGTTGTACGTATTCATGCAGGCATATACGTATTCATCTGATCCTTTTACTTGCGTAATTTTGCGCATACGTTTATGCCGATGGCTGAAAAATCATACAGTACGTCTACGTTCTTTTTTGGGCTTCTACGTTTTGCATGACGGGGTTCGGATGGATGGGGCATTTGCGCCCGCTGCTTGATTTTCACTGGTACTTCGACACATACAGCCAAGGCATGCCAAGGCAAATTTTCCATGGAGGCAAGTACATCAATGCAAATACAGGGAAAAATTGACACTTTAGCACCTCCTGCATCAGAATTTGAAAGGGACCAGCAACGAAAATCCTTGGTATGTATACCATATATTATTATATAATATAAGGATCTCCATGGGGCTGATTGGGGCTGCCTGTTTTCTTGCTGAAAACGCCGGGGAACAGTTGCAACAAAAACGCAACTGTAACGGTTGCAAAACACACCGTACAAACTGGAAAAACACCAAGGTCATCCAAGGTCTGAAAATACACTGGTTACATCTGGTTACTGCTGCCCCAAAAAAACGCCAATCCCATTTGGGGCATATAGAATCGCACAGGCAAGAATCAGTGCGGTTAATCGGTTAATGCTAACAAAAGACTTGATCGCTGCAAAATCCAGGGTGGCAAAACTGCATGGTTGAATAGCACAAAACTAGGGCAATTTGAGAGTGCCCGCTCTTTTTCGCGCAACCACCGCGGATAAACATAAATAGAAATAGATGAACCGCACAAAGCATGAGGAGATTGTTTATTTTGATGCGATTTATTGAAATTGACACAGAAAGAGGACACGAAACATGATAGCTGATAGCTAATATATATGATATAATTAAAACGCACACTTTCGCATCTGAATCTTGAAAACTGATGAAAACTGGACATTTCACATTCAAATCAAGTCCACGAACGATTTCCGGCCCGGCGGGATGCGTATGCTACTTACACGTCTGCAAGTTAATATAAATCAATGTTTTCATGCGCAAAGTAAGTGTCTTACATGCATGTCCGTGCACTGCGTATGTAACAATGAATGTGTGAATGCATGTGAATGATTGTGAATGCATATATTATATGATATTTTATGCATGTATGTATGTGCTCATGTATGCATTAAGTAAACGGTTTAATGTATGTACATGTATAACATGTGTATGTGGATGCGTAAGCGTATGTACGTGTGAGTGTGTGTGCGTGCGTGAGAATGTGCATGTGCATATATATATATATGCATAATATGTAAGTTGGTCTCTATGTATATATATATATACATATTATACATTGAAAACGGTCCATAATGTCTGTACGTGCATATGTATTATATGTGTGTGCCTGATGTGTACCTGATTTGTGCCTGATGTGTGCCTGTAAATACCCGCATATGCATCCACGTACATACTAATGTAGGTATGTATGTACTAATGTGTTTGCATGCTATGTATACGTGTGAATGTGTGTATAAAATGTATGTGTAGATATTGATGAGATGCTGCTATTATATAATCTATATACTATAATATATATATATATGTATGTGTGTGTGTGAAAGCTCTCTCTCTCTCTATGAGCATCGAATAATCAAAATAAGTTTAACTTGTGCATTTTGTGCATGTGTCTGTTCTTACCAGTGATTTGAGTCAAGCTACCTTAGGTAAAGCTTTTCGGGGATGGGATCGCCCTCGTAAGTCTCGCAAGCTTCGGTGAAGCACCGGAAGAGTGTGAACATTCCAGCCTCGAAGATTCTCAGCAGGGCTTCTGAAATGCAAAACGATTTATTTCGGACAGAATTGCAAAGACTTGGACTGATCAAGAAACCTGCGAACATTTGGCAAGAATTGGCAAACCGGATTCATCAAGGGATGCTGCCTGAGGCCAGCATCACACACACTATCACACACTGAGGCTCACACACCAACCGTACTAAACTCTTCGTGGTAGTCCCCGAAGAAGGACTTTGTAACGATGCTAATCATGTAGATCACGACCTTTGCGACATTGGGGAAAAAACATGTCACACTAGTGTGTTCAAACATTCCTCATCCATGGTCTGACCATTTCAGACTCTGTCGCGAAAAATGCCTATATGAAAAACATTAGTCTGACACGATCTGACCATATTGTTTTGGCGGGCCCTGTTTGGAAGTTGCCAGCTGTGTTCTGGCTTTGCCCGGCAGCATCAATGCTGCATAGCCACCATGAGCAGCACAATGGCCCACGCCAACGCGCGTATTCCGGACAAAAGTCCCATGGCCATAAGCTTCAGCTCCTCGCTGCCAGAGTTTGCATTTACAGCATACATCCGTATACATACAGGTATAATATAAGTATATATGATATGTATAAATATTATCACACAATATCACACATATATCATATATACAGATACATAAACAAATATCTAGCAACCCACGGAAACGGAAAAGTAAAATTGAGATAGATTTAGACCTTACTATGATAGTGTCTGTTAAATTGCAAAGTTTGTTCTTTTTGGGGTTCCTATCTACCTCCCTCTCTCTATGTGTGCGCATACATACTTGAACACCGCCCTTGCCGCCTGACTTGGCTCCACCCTAATCTCTATGCTCCTTGAACATCTTGAATCGCATGATTCTGACCAGGCGAAAGAGTCTAGCAAGCCGCAGAACCTGTCTTCACACAAAATACACGAAACCACCAACACTTGGCACAAGGTTTTCCAGTCAAAACGTGCTCATTGTCGTGGCAAACCTTTGATAAGTATAATATCTAGACATCTATCCGCCTATCCATCTGTCTCTACATAGTTTTATTGCATCCTGGCCCCCCAAAAAAACTCCTGCCATTTGGGATGCATCTTTCGGACTGGGCCATTGGGTGTCATATTTGACTGCAGAAAAATGCAGAAAATACTTGGGCGTATGCGACCAAGCGTGTATGTGTGTGGAGGTGTGCAGGCAGCTTTGAATTTTGTTTGATATGGTGTGTCATGTAGTCAGTGAGTCTTGGGAACTCGTTCAGAGATAGCTGGTCTACATGCTTGAGTGGCAGGCCTAAGATATTATAGGAAGCCTTGGAGGAAGGGCGAATCAAATCATTGCGCCTACATGCTATCCTGTCTGCATCACTTTGTCACACGTAAGAAAGGGAGAGAAGGCAAGGCTGCAATGTACCACTCATCAATGAATCAATCAATCCTAAGAATTTCTTGAAAAGCGAGGCAAATTGGGAGTCGTTTGCCTTTGATTGAACTTGAGGATTGGAAGTAAATCCTGAAGAAGGGCTTGCAAAAGAAGATCTTGTCAAGAAGCAGCATCATAAACACACGTTGTTTTTTTTGCTATTTTCCGCATTCCCGACACAACATGATGCAACATGGCGCATGGGCTGTGCCTTTAGCAAGTTCAACTGACTTTGACCCTGTCGTTCATCCCCTGCGAGCATGTTGAGCAGCAGCTCCTCGGCAATCTTCCCAGAGCCGGTAAATATGGTAAACTGGCGCTGTTATGCCAGCTCAAAACAAAGAAATACCGTTTCAAAAAAAACATGCATAAGACTCACTAAATGTCACTAAATCTAGTGAGCCAACACAGATATGTGCGGGTTCTTTTATCGGTCACTCTTACTCAAACAACTACAGTGCTATCTGGTGCTACCTGCCCCCATGATAGGATCAGTCAGTCAACACATGGAGGCCTGAACGCAATTCTTGCTGCTGGCTGAGGTGCCACTGCTGACTGAAACCAGCAAACAAAAAAAGTCGAACAAGTTCCACGTGAAGTCAGCACCACCTGATATTTTGCAGTCGTTGAAGAAACATGAAGAAACTAGGAACAAAGTCAACAAGACTTATCGGCTCTATCGCAAGAAAGGCAGCATTGTGGAATCATGTTGCCACTTGAAAGCCTTGCCCGCAGCTTTCTGCCAAGGCACAAAAGTAGTTGCTGACTCCCCACCATACATTCTTCACCAGGAACTCAAGCATATAAATGGAAAAAAACACCTGGCTCGTGACGTTAAAACTCTGTCGACTAAACGGAAGAGTTTGCGCAGTGGAGTCCAGCAGGTGCACTGTATGCGACACTAATGCGCGGCCGGGGCACTATTTCTACTACTTCCCAAATGTTGGCGTGCTGAGGAGTATCAATTGCAATGCCAATCACGGCCGCATTCACTGCAATGACAAAAACGATGCCCACATCCATAGCCTGGGAAAAGGGCGGCATCCACCTTTACCCAACTTTACCCCTGTATCACCAATGTATCACATACAGAATCTCTGATCAAAGATTTCGAGAGGTCCTTTCACATCTTTCACTGGTTTTCTCATACCTTGTGGCTATATAATGGCTCCAACCATGGCATGACCGTGTCATTCCATGTCACCAAAGTGCCTCCTTAATGAGTGCACTTCGCTGGCGTTGATTAAACTTTGCCTGTGGCCATCAGTGATCGATCGCAGTGGAGTGACAATTGCAAGCGGGAAAAAAATGGAAAAAATACATGACCCACCACTTCACATGCAGGGGATATCAGGTATCAAGGGATATCATAGGCAAATAGGCTAGGATGTGCTGCAATTTGAGCACGCCTTGCTGGTTTCAAAAACGTGGTTGTCCGACTCATCCTCCAACGACTTTTGCAGTGCTAGAAGGGTGGCCGCTATGTCGGTAGGTGCCTGCAGCAGCTGGCAAGAAAGCCTCTAGAGAAGAAGATTTTGATAGGTTTTGAATAAAATCGAAATACGTGTCTCGTGTTGCGTATTGAGACCCAAAATGATCCAAATATTCCAGATGCCCCATAGGTTTGATAAATTATGAATAATTATGATATTGATTGATATATTATGTGCAGTGGCGAGGTAGCCATCTGCAAGTGGCCGCGGCGGACTACCTCATTGATGAGAGCATTGTCGGAGCCTCGAAATGATTCCAGTCCGGAATCGCTGCTGAATCTGAAGGAAGCTGACATATGACATCCTCTCAAACATTCTCAAACGCTTTCCCAAGACCAAGTTGTTCAGAGCTCACAGGGCCAGACGGAGTCGAATGAATCCATTTTGATCGCATTCTGCGTCGCTGGACTGGCAGGCAAAACAACAGATTAACAAAATGCAACTGTGACAGATTGCGGGGTTTGGGCATTGAGGAACAAGATATATGACCTCAATACCATTCAATACCCAACACCATCCAAAATCCCAAACAAAAATCAGAACCTCCCTGAATAGCTGGTCACAATCGAATGAAGGTGCTTACAATGAATAGCCAGTCCCAGCCAGGCCTCAAAAACACCTTCGTCGCTGGGAACCTGCAGAAACTGATATCAAAAAGGGAAACCAATCAGGGCCCTTCCATTTCTCCAACAGTTGATGAGTCTGCTCGTGTATGGACGTCCATGTATATCACGCTTGTGTGTGAGAACGAGAACCCATATGCATCATTATTATCGAAATATGTTGTCATGTTAGTTGCTGCCAAGCCGGGGTGGGGTATGTCAAACTATGAACATTTCAAGAATATGCAGTCTGCATCCAAGAAGCAGAAGGCACTCCGTCGTTGATGTACTTCACTGCATTCACAACACTCCTCACGGTGACCTGCTGACCTGGCTGGTCCACAACATCTCAGCCGCTTCGTTGGACGGGAATCACAATGCAAGCAGGGCACCGTGTGTGATAGCTATAGCTGTCAACTCCTGTGCCGATAGAAAGCCTCGGTGGATCTGCAAATGACTTGTAGCAACCTGGAGCCGCCTTTTACGGCCCTATGATCTCCCTGGGGTTCTCATAGAGTGTGCAAATCTGAAAGGAAGCTCGTGCCAAGGGCTGCCAACTTGCGAAGAACGCCCTGGAACTTGCGTAAATAGCGCACAATGCAATCATATAAAAAAGCGTCCACAAACACAATGATAGAGATTCACACATACTCGCAAAAAACATTATATATAATAATGAAGTATAACACACACACATATATATATATAAATATAATCACTCCTCCGCAGTGGAGTCATGAGTCATGAGCAAAATTAATTAGAGCCTAGAGATGTCTAGAGTCTATAGTCAAATCATATCAAATCATATGTTATACAAATCTCATGATCATCTCCCCTAAACACACCTCAAAAGCACCAAATACCAAGGTTTATGATCCAGTGCTGGGTCTAAATATTTGTCGTGGGGATTCGTGGGGTCCCATCTAGCGGGATTATTTGCAGGGATGAGCTGATAAAGAGCTGATAAAAGCACAAAGTGCATCAAAGTGCGATAAGACCATACAGGACTTAGATGTACTTAGACACCTGTCAAAAAGCCTGCGCATCTCGGCAGAATCTACGGTGTCTTGTGGGCCAGTTTGCCAACCACGCCAAAGGCACCATTCTTGGAGGTGTCGATGCGTACAAACTGTGCCTGGACATCTTCCTTGTCGGCCCAATCAGGGTCCTCTGATGCCTCAAATGCACTTGCAAGTCTCACACTTGTGCCAGATCTCTGCGTCGCTAAATACACCAACGTTGCATGGCCCAAGCCAAAAAATGGCCCAAAGCGCCCAAAACGGGTTGAGCATTGGGAAAGTTTGGGAAATCAAATGGATAGCAAATTCAAGCTATCCAAGGCACTCGGGCCATTGACTTTGCCGGGCTGGTGTTGCCTGAGCGGCAAAAACCTGCTGATGCAAAGCAAGTCTGGATAAGTCTGGTATAGTCTGGTCAACCCTGTCGCAGCATGCCCGGCATCTCTCGAGGAAAGTTCTGCTATAATATGTTATATAATATCTAATATCCTTTACTGAAGATATACTGAAAGTATCATCTTTATCATCTTCAATAATTGAGTTTTCCTCCGACTCCGTCTCATTGCGTTCTTATGTCAGCCGAGCCACTTAGACTTGGTGTCTGGACTGCCTGCGGATGCTTCGACACAAAAACCAGTACAGTAAAATCCGGCGAATACCAATCGGGACGCGTCCAGGGCTGTGGCATCTACGTCACCTTCCTTTACCTTCAACAGCAAGGAGAACCGTCATCAAGTCACCAGTGTCAAAGATGTTCCAACGATGTTACACAAATTTACAAAAGAAGCCTTTTCCAGGAATGTACCGAATCTATCCGAATCTTGCAAAGTGCAAAAGAACCCCGTGCCTGCACCTCATTCGATGCTTGGCGACCGCCTCTGGATTGGACCTCACACAAAGAACCAACATGTATCAGTCAGAACACACCCAATCACACCCACATCGGCCATCGGCCCACATTCCATTTTAGATCATTTTAAAATTCTATAAAATTCTGGTTATGCCCTGCATCTGAAACCGTGGTTGCGCCGTGGTTGATGTGATTGAGTCAAATTGCACTCGGGATCGTTCACGGACTGCAGTTGCCATCAGCTTTCACAAACAAGTTGCATCTTCTGGCGGGACATCAGGATTGACGTGCTGCGGCAGCCTCTTCGTCAAGCCATAGCTGCGCCTGTTCAGTGTCTTTCGTGACTGGGCAGTGGGCGACGAAGAGGGATGAGAAAAAAGATGAAAAATGTATAAAGGCGGCTGATTTCATGTGAAAGGAGTAAAGGAGCCCGTTGAAAGTTCTCTCTCTGCCACTGAAGGCAGTAGTGACATCTAATGATCTAATGTGATGTAATGTGTGACTGATGTTGACTGACGTGACTCCGTGAAACTGAGCACTTTCTCGACTTTCTGCCAAGCGACCCACAGGTTCCGGACGCCTTGGAACCTGTCGTTGCAATCTCCGACCTGGATCACTGCGGTGCAGGGTGAATGTTGTGGAGAAGTGGCGGTGCCACTTCTAAACATATCAATACATGATCATACAGTCATACATGATAATACATGATAATACATGCATATACATGCATATACATGCTATATCATCACACAAACTTGAGAGGTGACCAATAGGACCTGCAGCAACCTGTCGAACCTATATTCGAAATTTGCGGGTTTCAGGATGTTTCAGATGTTTAAGTTGCAGTTTTTGCAGTCTTGGCGCTTCCAAAACATCCAACAAAACATCCTGTGACGCATTGTGACGCCCTGGGTTCTCCGGCTGAAGTTTAACGATCCGCTGGTTTGCCTCCTCTATCACTGACTGCAATGTCCTCGGGCCGGGGTGATCGCATCACGATTCACACTCCATTGGAGAATGAATGCAATCGTATCAAAATGTATCAAAATGTATCAAATAGTGCAGCGGAGGTTGCTGGAGCTCTTGAGAAACAACTTGCAGGAACTCGTTCTCCACAGGATTGTTGTTGCCTATTCCATCCTGAAGAGACAACGATGATGCACAAAAGGGGACCCCCAGAAAACACCTCACAAGTTGTGGCATGTCTTGGCAAGGGCCCGGCCAGATTCTCCAATGAGCCAGTCTTCTCCATGGCGAGGTGAAAGCAAGAGAGAGCAAGCGTGTCTAGTCCGTACAAAACCTCTGCGAAACCTGTGTTGCTTCATGCTGCTTGCATTATATGCGATGTGTTAGAGCCTGATTGAGCCACTCTGGCGGCAGCATTGACCCGGTGAAAACTCAGAGGTCACAAAAAATCATGGCACCAGATGCACCAGAGACTTTTTCGTGGCACTACATCCATCTACATCCTGAATCTAGATGAACCATGATGAACCTAGCTGATCCTGCACATATGAATCCACCGGAGATCCATCAGCCCCGCTTTTGCGCGCAATGCGAAGCACTGAGCTAGTGGGAGTAAAGAATCAGCAGCTTGTTGAAGATCCTGAATGGCAAGGGTTTGCGTTAGACAATAATCCTGGACTCACGTAGTCTCTCTCTCTCTCTCCCTCTCCCTCTCTCTCTCTCTCTCTCTTTAACTCTAACAGGCCCCTAAGATCGTAGGTGATCTGAGCTCTTAACAAACTCAAATTCGAAGCAAACAAATACATGTGGCTGGCCCCTTCGCATTTTGCTCTGCTCGTCAGGCTCCAGAGATAAAGAGTGAGACGTCTCAGACGCTCAACTTCTGCATCGTTCGAATCGTTCGAATCGTTGTATCATTCTGCATGCCCAGTCAGTCCGATGAGTTCGGCAACGTTCTGAACTGCAGTTTTGTTCAGTCCAGTGGGTGCATGGAAGGCGGAAACGCCTGCCTTTGCCTCGGATCAAAAAAACTGAGGTAACAGGTGGAAGTTACACGAAGTGCATGAAGTTAAGCTACTATATTAGTAATATCATAGTAATATCCAACAATTATGAGAACTTCTGATCCACTTGCGGCAGCTTAGAACCCGCAGCAGCCTATGTTCTGAAGTTATCTGAAGTTTAATACTGGCAATGCTTATATATATATATATAAATGCTTCAATTCCAAATGTCAGCAAGTTTCAGCTTCCTGGACGTTGTGCAAGTCGTCATCGAGCAGGATCATTTCCTGGGACAGGATAATAGAGTGAGAGTACGTAAAAGAGTCAACTGACAAATTTGCCAAACGGAATATTACGCCACTTCCAGGATCAAACAATGTGAAGAAATTGTGAAGAAAGGACGCTAAAGTTTCTAAAATATTCTAAGATAGATCTCATGACGTAACCAACTTAATTATATCGTCAAAACCGCTTCGCAAGAATGTGCCTTTTCAAGCAGTCGAACGGGTAATTTTCACTCCTGGTCGGGAAATCACGTAGATGCACCCTGTGCAGCTGACTTGACCGCCTTTGAGCGCCTTTTGAACGCCGATCGCTGCCAAACACCAGCTGCACTCTACATCGCTGGCTGGTGAAAAATTTGAAAAAATCTGAAAAAATGATGTTTTCCAACGTCCTTCGAACGCCTACATATTATCTCATATCAATTCATATCAAACATGAGAATATCAGAATATTGAGAAGTGTTCATTCTTTAGCCATGCGTCTGTTGCAGCCACACCGAAGCGCCGTGCCAAAGAAGCCAACTGGGTGTTTTTGTCGCCCAACCAGGAGCTCCCTTCTGGACAGCGTGCCTTGAGCTGGAGACATCCGGATAGAACGTTGGGATTCGGCTGCATTATGCCGTGTCATGTTGTGCGCATGTCAGTCTTTTGTTCAGCAAGTTGATTGCACTCTGTAAAGTGTCAACGTGCATCAATGAGTCGTTGCATCGCAATATCTATATATACAGTAAATCAATGTAAATCATAGTAAATCTATTCTTCCGAGAGACAGCTTCGATGCCAGCCTGTCATTCCGGGCATAGAGTGAAACAACAGAAAGTGGTGTAACATGGTGTAACCGTGTGCAGCCCACTTCTGCTTGCACTTCTTGTGATTCAAAGGCCGAGAGCCTCGGACCTTTTCCGGCTGATGGTGACGGGGATAACGGTCTTGTATCAAGACATGGCCCAGGCATGCCCAGGGCCTTTCATATCTTGCATATTCTTTCGTATCTTTCATATTCTTTCATACTCTTTCACGCTCTTTGTGAAAAACATGTCAAAACTGTGGCCTCGGGTGCGGGGTCTGGATAATCAGCTGGGGTGGTGATCACAACCCCATGGTCTTCACCGAGTGCGAACTGCATGGCTTTGCCCGCCACATCAGCACGGCCAAAAGTCGCAATGACCTGATATCGCAGAGATGCACAGCGCACACCCAACTCACACGGAAGTCAAAATGAGTCAAAGCCATCTCAATGGTTACAATTAAGTTACAATCATTCAGGATCGTTGTGGACCTACTGCATTTGTCCAATATGCACCAAATTGCACCAACTATCTTTCCTTCCATCATTTCCCCATGTCTTCGTATCACGGGCTGTTTCATGCCAAGTTTCCACCTCTCCTGCTCGCTTCCGAATGGCTCGGACCAGCCAGCGAAAGAGTGCCAAATCGGTGAAAGTTTCCTCCGAGTGCCAAATACAGAGGCGCTGAAGTTCCAGATGTATCATGTCTCAACATGTCTCAACAACTGTTGCGGATGTGGTCACATCCGCAACTCTATGACCTGTCCTCGGACACAGGGATCTGATTCAGTGGGGCGTCCTTGTATGTGCCCCACATATGCTCCTGACAGGACGTACAACCTGCATGAAATGCACACCTGGAAGCTGAGTATTTTTACCTTGCCCATCCTTGCCCTGTCCTTTGCGATGGTCCGGTCGAAGTCTAAGCACAGCAGCCTGGATTCTGCAAAGCTCAGCATACTCGAACGCTCTTGTCGCGCTGATTTAGATAATAGAGCTGTTTCCTTCCACGCAATGCTGAAGACCACGTCACTATCATTGTTAATCCTACAGTACGTCCTAGGTCGATTTTGCTCAGATTCCTCTCTCAGTGCCCTTGATTTTCCATCCATTTCCATCCGTATCTGTTGCCAACCTTTTCTGTGGTCCCAACCTCCATGGGACTGGCGGCTCTCGAGCTTCATCCCGCTCAGCTGTCCGAAGATCTTGCAAAGCTGCAGATTCTGCAGCCGCCAAACGTTCCAAGAGAGCGCCTAAGGTCAATACGGTCAAGAATGAATCAAGAAATGTCATCAACAAAGATGCAAGCATAATCAAGCGGATCTTGGACTGGACGAGCACATGCCACTACTATATAAATTATATGTCTATATTTTTATGCTGACAGCAGAAATACTCTCAGCGGATCTTGGACAATCTGGATAACAATTGCAACACGATGCGACATCGTTCCTTTATTTGAGGGCGCGCAAGAAGAATGTGTTTCATGTTGCTGCCTTCCCTGAGGCTTTGCTGAAGTCCCTTTCTTCTCAACATCATTAGGTCCGCAAATGTTTGCAAAACGTCTAGAAAGCTGGGGCAGCAGCTCGCTTTCGCCATGAGAGCTGGGGATGCTTGTGTTGCACGCGACAGAGCCAGGCGTAGCGACTTGCTGTTGCGGAGATTTACAGCCGCCTGGCAGATGAAAACACGAGAACAGAAAGACAAATATAAAGTGATAGAGCATATGCATCTTCATAGAACATTTACATCGTTGGACAATGTTGGACGTCTCTGAGCATTTTCATACATCAATACATCAGTACTCTTTGGTCTACCATACAACGGTTGAAGACAGGCGGCAGTAGGCAAATCACATGCGATTCAAGCTGCCATGAATCCACCATGAATCTAGACAGGACTGATGTGATTCCCATCCTGCAGCAGCTTTTCGGAGTTTGCACCACGACCTGCTGCTTTGCCTGGCACTGCTGACCATTGCAAGGCTAAATCCTTGCGAGCTGACCGTTCGTGGCAAGATCCACAAGATTCTCCCATAATCTCCCATATCAATTTCAGAGAATGAGCACGATGAGTGCGCAGATATATCGTTGAACTACTCATTGACCTACCTTTCACACAGAAACCGCGTGTTTTCTCAGTTATGCAACTGTATATCATTGTATATCGTATTACATATATGTATATTATATAATAACTATATGCATACACATTGTCAATACATATCACATGATATCACATGTATATCATGTGTATCTGGGTAGGTTCTTGACTCGTTTGTTGTTTTTTCATGCAGTCATGTCTGCCCTTCACTGCCTGCAGGAGTACGTGCCTTGACTGGGCTCGGAGCAGCTTTTGGCTCCACAGCACGGCCACTGGCACCTGCCGAATCCGGGTCATACTTAAAAGACCTGAAAAAGGATGGAAGCAGATGTCTATACGTAATAATGTGTGCATATATTAATGGATTAATATGTTGGTATATATAAATCTATGTTTCAGCAATATATATGCAATACATACTGCGATATACTACGATACATACATACACACATTATATACTACAATACATACATACACACATGATATATTTGAAAAACCATCGACTGTGTATACATGTCTAGATGGATATACTACCTAGCGCATCAAGAACCCAAATTTGTAGTCTTTTTCCAAAAACCAAGTTTTTTCTTCAGTTATGAAAAAAAAAACATGTTTTTCTCAAAATATGGGTTTTGTTCTTTACTAGGGGAAAAAACTACTTTTTCTCACACTTGGTGTCATGACATCTCATAATGAACAGATGAATAGATAGACACACATAAACACACACACACACATATATATATATATATATATATATATCCGCCGACCCCGGCAGACGCAAGGGGGAGCGCGCCAGGGAATAATACTTTTGACTCTTGTTTCGGACTACTACCGCAGCAGCAGCAGCAGCAGCAGCAGCACCAGCAGCACCAGCAGCAGCAGCAGCAGCAGCAGGAGCAGCAGCAGCAGCAGCAGTAGCAGCAGCAGCAGCACCAGCACCAGCAGCAGCAGCGGCAGCAGCAGCAGTAGCAGCAGCAGCAGCAGCACCAGCAGCAGCAGCAGCAGCAGCGGCAGCAGCAGCAGCAGCGGACGACAGCACCAGCAGCGGCAGCTGCAGCTGTTGCTGCTGCTGCTGCAGCAGCAGGAGGAAAAAGTAGCTAAAATAATCCTTTTCTATGGGTTTCAGAAGTTACATTAGGGAATTTTTGGTTGCAAAATAATCCTTTTCTATGGGTTTCAGAAGTTACATTAGGGAGTTTTTAGTCGCAATTAGGAGGAAAAAGTAGCTAAAATAATCCTTTTCTATGGGTTTCAGAAGTTACATTAGGGAGTTTTTGGTCGCAATTTTGATGCTTGTCCGTCCTTCTCTGCCATGGTGTTTTCCCATGAGGAAAAAGTAGCTAAAATAGCTCATTTTCTCTCAGCAGCTAGCAGCCAGCCAGCAGCAGCCAGCAACTTTTAAAAGCTCTTAACAAGGTGGAAATAAGCTGGAAAAATGATTTTTGTAGGATTTCAGAAGGGACGTTCCGGCCTCGAAAAACGTCGATTTTGGCATCGGTTCGTCCTTTAGGGCCATGCTGTTTTACTGCCGGGAGGTGTTTCGGAGGCGTTCGCCAGCAGCAGCAGTAAGAGCAGCCGCAGCAGTGCAGCAGCTAGCAGCCAGCCAGCAGCCAGCAGCTTTTGACAGCTTGTAACAAGGTGGAAATAAAGTGGAAAAATGATATTTTTGTAGGATTTCAGAAGGGACGTTCCGGCCTTGAAAAACGTAGATTTTGGCACCAGTTCGTCCTTTAGGGCCATGCTGTTTCACTGCCGGGAGGTGTTTCGCAGGCATTCGCCAGCAGTAGCAGTAAGAGCAGCGGCAGCAGTGCAGCGGCTAGCAGCCAGCCAGCAGCTTTTAACAGCTCTTAACGAGGTGGAAATAAGGTGGAAAAATAATGATATTTTGGTAGGATTTGTAAGATTTCAGAAGGGAGTTTTACTGCCGGGAGGTGTTTAACAGGCTAAGAGCAGCGGCAGCCGTGCAGCAGCTAGCCGCCAGCCAGCAGCAGCCAGCAGCTTGTAACAGCTCTTAACAAGGTGGAAATAAGATGGAATCTGAGATCTTTTTGTAGGATTTCAGAAGGGACGTTCCGGCCTCGAAAAACGTAGATTTTGGCATCAGTTCGTCCTTTAGGGCCATGCTGTTTTACTGCCGGGAGGTGTTTCGCAAGCGTTCGCCAGCAGCAGCAGTAAAAGCAGCCAGCTAGCAGCCAGCCAGCAGCTTGTAACAGCTTGTAACAAGGTGGAAATAAGGTGGAAAAACGCTAGTTTTCTAGGATTTGTAGGATTTCAGAAGGGAGTTTTACTGCCGGGAAGTGTTTAGCAGGCTAAGAGCAGCGGCAGCCGTGCAGCAGCTAGCAGCCAGCCAGCAGCAGCCAGCAGCTTTTAACAGTTCTTAACAAGGTGGAAATAAGGTGGAAAAATGATATTTTTGTAGGATTTCAGAAGGGACGTTCCGGCCCCGAAAAACGTACATTTTGGCATCGGTTCGTCCTTTAGGGCCATGCTGTTTTACTGCCGGGAGGTGTTTTGCAGGCGTTCGCCAGCAGCAGCAGTAAGAGCAGCCGCAGCAGTGCAGCGGCTAGCAGCCAGCCAGCAGCAGCCAGCAGCCAGCCAGCAGCCAGCAGCTTTTAACAGCTCTTAACAAGGTGGAAATAAGGTGGAAAAATGATATTTTTGTAGGATTTCAGAAGGGACGTTCCGGCCCCGAAAAACGTAGATTTTGGCATCGGTTCGTCCTTTAGGGCCATGCTGTTTTACTACCAGGAGGTGTTTTGCAGGCGTTCGCCAGCAGCAGCAGTAAGAGCAGCCGCAGCAGTGCAGCAGCTAGCAGCCAGCCATCAGAAGGGACGTTCCGGCCTCGAAAAACGTAGATTTTGGCATCGGTTCGTCCTTCAGGGCCATGCTGTTTTACTGCTGGGAGGTGTTTCGCAGGCGTTCGCCAGCAGTAGCAGTAAGAGCAGCGGCAGCAGTGCAGCGGCTAGCAGCCAGCCAGCAGCTTTTAACAGCTCTTAACAAGGTGGAAATAAGGTGGAAAAATGATATTTTGGTAGGATTTGTAAGATTTCACAAGGGAGTTTTACTGCCGGGAGGTGTTTAACAGGCTAAGAGCAGCGGCAGCCGTGCAGCAGCTAGCCGCCAGCCAGCAGCAGCCAGCAGCTTGTAACAGCGCTTAACAAGGTGGAAATTAGGTGGAAAAATGATATTTTTGTAGGATTTCAGAAGGGACGTTCCGGCCTCGAAAAACGTAGATTTTGGCATCAGTTCGTCCTTTAGGGCCATGCTGTTTTACTGCCGGGAGGTGTTTCGCAAGCGTTCGCCAGCAGCAGCAGTAAAAGCAGCCAGCTAGCAGCCAGCCAGCAGCTTGTAACAGCTTGTAACAAGGTGGAAATAAGGTGGAAAAACGCTAGTTTTGTAGGATTTGTAGGATTTCAGAAGGGAGTTTTACTGCCGGGAAGTGTTTAGCAGGCTAAGAGCAGCGGCAGCCGTGCAGCAGCTAGCAGCCAGCCAGCAGCAGCCAACAGCTTTTAACAGTTCTTAACAAGGTGGAAATAAGGTGGAAAAATGATATTTTTGTAGGATTTCAGAAGGGACGTTCCGGCCCCGAAAAACGTAGATTTTGGCATCGGTTCGTCCTTTAGGGCCATGCTGTTTTACTGCCGGGAGGTGTTTTGCAGGCATTCGCCAGCAGCAGCAGTAAGAGCAGCCGCAGCAGCGCAGCAGCTAGCAGCCAGCCAGCAGCCAGCAGCTTTTGACAGCTTGTAACAAGGTGGAAATAAAGTGGAAAAATGATATTTTTGTAGGATTTCAGAAGGGACGTTCCGGCCTCGAAAAACGTAGGTTTTGGCACCGGTTCGTCCTTTAGGGCCATGCTGTTTTACTGCCGGGAGGTGTTTCGCAGGCGTTCGCCAGCAGTAGCAGTAAGAGCAGCGGCAGCAGTGCAGCGGCTAGCAGCCAGCCAGCAGCTTTTAACAGCTCTTAACAAGGTGGAAATAAGGTGGAAAAATGATATTTTGGTAGGATTGGTAAGATTTCAGAAGGGAGTTTTACTGCCGGGAGGTGTTTAACAGGCTAAGAGCAGCGGCAGCCGTGCAGCAGCTAGCAGCCAGCCAGCAGCAGCCAGCAGCTTGTAACAGCTCTTAACAAGGTGGAAATAAGGTGGATAAGGTGGAAAAATGATATTTTTGTAGGATTTCAGACGTTCCGGCCCCGAAAAACGTAGATTTTGGCATCGGTTCGTCCTTTAGGGCCATGCTGTTTTACTGCCGGGAGGTGTTTCGCAGGCGTTCGCCAGCAGCAGCAGTAAGAGCAGCCGCAGCTGGCAGTGCAGCAGCTAGCAGCCAGCCAGCAGCAGCCAGCAGCTTTTAACAGCTTGTAACAAGGTTGAAATAAGATGGAATCTGATATTTTTGTAGGATTTCAGAAGGGACGTTCCGGCCTCGAAAAACGTAGATTTTGGCATCAGTTCGTCCTTTAGGGCCATGCTGTTTTACTGCCGGGAGGTGTTTCGCAAGCGTTCGCCAGCAGCAGCAGTAAAAGCAGCCAGCTAGCAGCCAGCCAGCAGCTTGTAACAGCTTGTAATAAGGTGGAAATAAGGTGGAAAAACGCTAGTTTTGTAGGATTTGTAGGATTTCAGAAGGGAGTTTTACTGCCGGGAAGTGTTTAGCAGGCTAAGAGCAGCGGCAGCCGTGCAGCAGCTAGCAGCCAGCCAGCAGCAGCCAGCAGCTTTTAACAGTTTCTTTTAACCTCTGGGACTCTTTTTTTCTTTCTGTTACGTCGTTACACACTCAGTTCCCCCCGGTTGACCTCCGGTGGAAAAATGATATTTTTGTAGGATTTCAGAAGGGACGTTCCGGCCCCGAAAAACGTACATTTTGGCATCGGTTCGTCCTTTAGGGCTTACCTTGCGTTTTTGCAAACCAAAAAAAAAAAAAAAAACTGCCGGGAGGTGTTTTGCAGGCATTCGCCAGCAGCAGCAGTAAGAGCAGCCGCAGCAGCGCAGCAGCTAGCAGCCAGCCAGCAGCCAGCAGCTTTTGACAGCTTGTAACAAGGTGGAAATAAAGTGGAAAAATGATATTTTTGTAGGATTTCAGAAGGGACGTTCCGGCCTCGAAAAACGTAGGTTTTGGCACCGGTTCGTCCTTTAGGGCCATGCTGTTTTACTGCCGGGAGGTGTTTCGCAGGCGTTCGCCAGCAGTAGCAGTAAGAGCAGCGGCAGCAGTGCAGCGGCTAGCAGCCAGCCAGCAGCTTTTAACAGCTCTTAACAAGGTGGAAATAAGGTGGAAAAATGATATTTTGGTAGGATTGGTAAGATTTCAGAAGGGAGTTTTACTGCCGGGAGGTGTTTAACAGGCTAAGAGCAGCGGCAGCCGTGCAGCAGCTAGCAGCCAGCCAGCAGCAGCCAGCAGCTTGTAACAGCTCTTAACAAGGTGGAAATAAGGTGGATAAGGTGGAAAAATGATATTTTTGTAGGATTTCAGACGTTCCGGCCCCGAAAAACGTAGATTTTGGCATCGGTTCGTCCTTTAGGGCCATGCTGTTTTACTGCCGGGAGGTGTTTCGCAGGCGTTCGCCAGCAGCAGCAGTAAGAGCAGCCGCAGCTGGCAGTGCAGCAGCTAGCAGCCAGCCAGCAGCAGCCAGCAGCTTTTAACAGCTTGTAACAAGGTTGAAATAAGATGGAATCTGATATTTTTGTAGGATTTCAGAAGGGACGTTCCGGCCTCGAAAAACGTAGATTTTGGCATCAGTTCGTCCTTTAGGGCCATGCTGTTTTACTGCCGGGAGGTGTTTCGCAAGCGTTCGCCAGCAGCAGCAGTAAAAGCAGCCAGCTAGCAGCCAGCCAGCAGCTTGTAACAGCTTGTAATAAGGTGGAAATAAGGTGGAAAAACGCTAGTTTTGTAGGATTTGTAGGATTTCAGAAGGGAGTTTTACTGCCGGGAAGTGTTTAGCAGGCTAAGAGCAGCGGCAGCCGTGCAGCAGCTAGCAGCCAGCCAGCAGCAGCCAGCAGCTTTTAACAGTTCTTAACAAGGTGGAAATAAGGTGGAAAAATGATATTTTTGTAGGATTTCAGAAGGGACGTTCCGGTTCGAAACGTAGATTTGGCGAGCTGGCATCTTCTCACATAAAACGTGTAGGTGTAACAGAGGGTACAACCCATGAAACTCAAGTATCTATACCACTCGTTTGGTCAATTCACATCCTGGATCGGATTTTTCGTCTAAAAAGAGGCTTCACGACAGCGAGTAATTTAGGCGGATCTGGCACAAGACATCGTCCAAGTTTTGCAAAGGCCCTCATTTGGGAGGCCACGAACGGTCCACAACTGAAACAAATGTCAATCTATCCAAAAGTATACAGATATGTTGGCAGCTTCATGATAATTTCCGCAAACATCATCCATCACGAATTCAAATCCCACACCTGATGACTCACTTCACCTACAAAACTTGCATGTTGCACCCCCACATGCCGTTTTTCCACAATACCTAATGGAAACCATACAATCGTCATCCATTTTCCTTCTTCACATTTTGAAATTTCCTCTTGATCCACGGCTTGGCTCCCTCACTTGGGTCGAAGTCTGCAAGGGCAAAGTGTAGCCAAAATAACCATGGGCAAGTCACATCTGCAGCATGTCGTTCTAACAACTCTAAACAAATAACTTTTGCGTGGCGCACAAAAAAATGATGCACCACACCTTAGGTCTTTGTGATGATATGTGGTGACCTCTAAGCTGGAGCTTTCTTGTCCTAATAGCTTTTAGCAGTTTTGTCTTAGGTCTCTCAGCCCAAATGCACATAGATGTGTTGTTCAGTTCAGAGCAAGCTTCATGTCAACTGTCTCGTCACTCTTGCCTGTTTCACCAGCCCTTGATGAAATTGGAACATTGCGGCATCTGCTCAAGGCCTATAAGTCATCTGCATCAGGTATATTTTGCCGGATATTGTTTCACTTTCTCGAACAGTTGCATGGTCCGCAAAACATGCGGAACCTTACGAACGTTTACTTCGGCAAGAGAACCTTTACTTATTCTTTTCCGGGGTCGGCGGCAGGGGCGGCAGCCCTTAAATATTTATATCTATTCAAAGAAAAACATCACACCACACAATACTGTTGTTCTATTTTGATATATTACAGTACTATATAGATATACGCATAAAGTAATCAATATACACCATCTATAACACGAGGATATATCTACATATCTCATTCTAGATGATATGCTATGCGTAGGTAAAAGTATAGTGATTCATAACCCGAAATAAGCTTTATTATAAGATATTCCTCTTACAGTACTTAACCATTATTCAGTGACGTCGCAGGATATCGTTATAATTTACCCCCAATGTGCGTTGTGCTTTTGGGTGCGTGTCCACAGATGTTTTATACCATGTGCTTTGGTGAATGCCCGGATATCTCCAACGATGCGAAAGAAACAAGGAGAGCCACAAATGCACGACAATACGTTGAAATCGGTGGTGGCATTCTCGCAACTGCTTCGCCGAGTCGTTCAAATCACCGAGTTAGCGCTCACCTTCAGCTTTGCTTCCTGCTCTTTTGACTTCTTCTCTGCAGGCACTACTGGGCTGGCATATTTTCGCCTTGGGGCTTGTGCCATTTCGGTTCACTTTTGGCGACAGCAACCCTTGCATAATTATATTATATATATACATACGTCTCCTGCTGTCTCCTACTAGCTGGCCTACCAAAAAAAAGACTTCCCATGAAATTGAATTCGACAAGAATCTCGTCCAAAGAATGCAAAGATAATAAACAAAGATACAAAGCAGGCAGCCGAGGAACCTGTGCAGTTCCTGCTGGCCGTGACTGCTTTGGAGACTTTGGAGGTTCTGTCCCTGCTCAGCAGCCAGTCCGAGCAACACATAGTATCAAAATCTGGCACTGCCTTGCATCGCCTAGCGATTTTAATTCCCAACAGCAGGGCCTGTTGGGTTTCAATCTCTAGGGCTGGGGCTGGCTCGCGGGGACTTGCAGCCTTCAAAATCCGGTGGAACCCTGGAACCCTGGAACATTGGAACCCTGGAACCTTGGAACCCTGGAACCCTGGAACCTTGGAATCCTGGAAAATCTGGAATCCTGGAATCCTGGAAAATCTGGAACCTTGGAACCCTGGAACCCTGAAACATTGGAAGCCCGGAACCCTGGAACCCTGGAACCCCGGAACCCTGGAACCCTGAAACCGTGGAACCTTGGAACCCTGCGACCGTGGAACCCTGAAACCTTGGAACCTTGGCACCCTGGAACCCTCAAGGATTCTGGAACCCTGCAACCTTGGAACCCTGGAACCTTGGAACCCTGCAACCCTGCAACCCTGCACACCTGGCACCCTGCTGGCACCCTGCTGGGACCCTGAAACCCTGGAACCGTTGGAACCGTTGGAACCCTTGGAACCCTTGGAACCCTGGAAACCTTGGAACCCTGAAACCGTGGGACCCTGGTACCCTGGAACCTGGAACCTGGAACCCTGATCCCTGGAACCCTGGAACCCTGAAACCTTGGAACCCGGAACCCTGGAACCCTGGAACCCTGGAACCCCGGAACCCTGGAACCCTGAAACCCTGGAACCTTGGAACCCTGCGACCGTGGAACCCTGAAACCTTGGAACCCTGCAACCTTGGAACCCTGGAACCTTGGAACCCTGCAACCCTGCACACCTGGAACCCTGCTGGGATCCTGGAACCCTGAAACCCTGGAACCCTGGAACCCTGGACCCTGGAACCCTGGAACCCTGGAACCCTGGAAGCCTGGAACCCTGAAACCTTGGAACCCCAGAACCCTGGAACCCCGGAACCCTGGAACCCTGAAACCCTGGAACCTTGGAACCCTGCGACCGTGGAACCCTGAAACCTTGGAACCTTGGCACCCTGGAAATGTCAAGGATTCTGGAACCCTGCAACCTTGGAACCTTGGAACCCTGGAACCTTGGAACCCTGCAACCCTGCACACCTGGCACCCTGCTGGGACCCTGAAACCCTGGAACCCGTGGAACCCTTGGAACCCTTGGAACCCTTGGAACCGTGGAAACCTTGGAACCCTGAAACCGTGGGACCCTGGTACCTTGGTACCCTGGAACCTTGGAAATCTGAAACCTTGGAACCCCGGAACCCTGGAACCCTGGAACCTTGGAACCCCGGAACCCTGAAACCCTGGAACCTTGGAACCCTGCGACCGTGGAACCCTGAAACCTTGGAACCTTGGCACCCTGGAACCCTCAAGGATTCTGGAACCCTGCAACCTTGGAACCCTGGAACCTTGGAACCCTGCAACCGTGCACGCTGCATGCAATAAAATAAACTATAAAACTTCCAAACCCTGAACCCTAATGCGCGCTGCGCGCACTGCGTGCCACACACATAAACCCTAAAACTTTCAAACTTTAAACCGTAACGCGTACTGCGCGCACAGCCTGCCATAGAGGTAAATGGTTAAACTTTCAAACGCTGCGTGCCATAGAGACAAAGCCTAAAACTTTCAAACGCTAAACCGTAAAGCAGGCTGCGCGCGCTGCGTGCCATAGAGTGCTCCTCAAAAGTGATTACATGTCATACTTTAGTGGCATCCTCCAAATTCATTAGTCAGCCTTTGTTAATCCAGGGCCCATTTTACACATGTCATCTTCTTGGTCGTGGCGCCATTTCAGGATCACACTGATGACCTAAGCTTTGGCCTTAACTATTATGCAGGCAAGCGGCATCAGCACGCTATGGTATTGGAAGACACAGGGTTTGCCCGTAGACCAGCCAAAAAAATCGATTTTCCACACTGAACAATTTTATTTAACACATTTAGAATAGGAGCTCCGCCTGATTCAGATTTCATCACTTAAAAGGTACCCATGCCTGACTAGCCTTCATGACTTAAAGCGTAACCACACCCGACTTAAGGGAACCATGTCTGACTAGCCTTCATAATTAAGAGGTACCCACCCACGCCTGACTTAACAGAACCCATGCCTGACTAGCCTTCATAATTAAAAGGCACCCATGCCTCTGAATTAAGGGAACCATGCCTGACTAGCCTTCACAATTAAAAGGTACCCACTGGAACCATGCCTGACTAGCTTTAATGACTTAAAAGGTAACTACACCTGACTTAATACCTGATTTACTGGTTTTGCCTGATTTTGGAAAAACGCAGGGCCGGAATTTGCAGGGCACGGGCCGGAATTTGCCGGGCCCGGGCCGGAATTTGCCGGGCTGGGATTTTGGGGTCGTGCCTAAATAGGATTTTTGCAAAAATCGTGCATGACTGAAGGGAACCATGCCTGACTAAACATCATACCAATCATCCCAAAAGAATCCAATAATTCCGGCAAGTGATGCCTGACCAATCCCTGCGTCATAAAAAACCGTCTGCCCCTCCCCACCCAATAATGAACACACGGAATAGTTTTTTGTATTTAGTGGGTATTTAGTATGAGGGTGCGAAACTTCCCCCTTGGTTTAAAAAAACTAAATTGGAAAACATTTTTTTAATAAGATCTAACTAAAATATTGCCAAAATTGGATTCCGAAGCTTCCCCGTGACATTAAATTGAAAACATTTGTTTTAAAAAATGAACTTTATATTTCAAAACCGATTGAATTCCTATTCAAAATCTAACTCAAATCTTGCCAAATTGGATTTCGAAGCTTCCCCTTATATGAAATTGAAAACCTTACTAATCCCCATCTCCTTTTACTAAACGTACCCTAAATACTAAAATATTACATTGATTCCTTTTACTAGGGTCCGCGTTAAATTTTGGGAAATTTCAGGCTGGCCAGTTTGACTTTTAATTGATACCTTTTCAAAAACAAATTAAACATGAAGGTCCCATTTCAGAATTTCACCACCAAAAAATAAAAACTAGTCAGCCCCGGTGTTTTTTTAAACTAGGGTCTTTTAAGGTCGAAAAAATAAGTATTTTATATTACAACGTTTTTTTAATATTGGGGGAAAACTTCGAAATCCACTTTTTGGCATTGCCTGGAAATATTTTTGCTGGATGTCAAAAGGAAATCTAATCGATTCTTGAAATCGAAAAAACATAGTTTTTTTTTATTAGTGTTTTTAATTTAATCTTAGGGGAAAACTTCGAAATCCAATTTTTAGCAATATCTTAATTATATGTTAAACAGAAAACTAATCGATTTTGAAACAGTTCTTTTTTTAAAAAATATATTAGGGCTGGTAATTTATTATTAGAGGAAACATTTCGAAATCCGGTTTTTGTTTTTATTTTTGTTACTACAATTTAAAAGGAAATCGAATCGATTTCAAAAAAGAAAAAATAATATTTTATATTAGGGTTTTTTAATGTAATATTAGGGGAAAACTTCAAAATCCAATTTTTGACCATATTCTAATTAGATTTCAAAAGGAAATCTAATGAATTTTGATATAGAAAAAATAGTCTTTGATATGAGGGTTTAATATTAGGGGAAAGCTTCGAAATCCAATTTCTGGCAATATCTTAATTTGAATTTACAAGGAAATCTAATCGATTCTGAAATAGAACAAATTTAGTTTTTTTATATTGGAATTTTTCATGCAAGATTAGGGGAAGCATCGAAATCCAATTTTTGAACATATTTTAACAATTGGATTTTAATTTGATATTAGGGGAAAGCTTCAAAATCATTTTTTTTGTTTTTTTTCATTAGATTTCAAAAGGAAATCTAATCGATTTTGAAACAGGAAAAAAACAAAATGATATTAGGGTTTAATATAAGGGAAAAACTTCGACATCCAATTTTTTGGCCATATTTTATTTAAATTTTTAAAAGGAAATCTAATCGATTTCGAAAAAGAAAAACATACATAATTTTTTATGTTGGGGGTTTTATTTGATATTAAGCTTCGGAATCCACTTGTTTGCCATATTTTAATTGGATTTAAAAAGAAAGAAATCTGATCGATTTTTAAATAGAAATATGTGTATATATATATATGCGTGTGTGTGTGTGTTTTTTTATCAGTATTAGGGGGAAGCTTCGTACCCTAATACTAAAGACCCCCCCAATACTAAAAATTCCTCCAGGTGTTTGTTATTTGGGTGGGTGGGTGAAGGGGCGACTGTTTAGCAACAGGGGGAAGGGATTAAACCGTTTTTTGTTTCTAATTTCAAAATCCATGAAAATAATCTTTAAATAGAATACTGCCAAGAATAGGATTTCGCAGCTTTCGCCTAGTATCAAATAAAACACCAACACCTGAATTAAAAAAACTAAAATTGACGATTTTAAAGGACGGACCCCAATAAAAGACACCCCGGTGTTGACTAGTTTTTTGTTCTTTGGGGGTGAAACCCTCACATGGTACCTTCATTTTTAAAATTGTTTCCTCAAGGGGATCAATTAAAAATCAGATTAACCAATTTGACATTTCCCAAAATTGGAAATCGCACCTAGTTTTTGTCATTTGGGGGTATTTTTCGTAATAGGGAGAAAGGATTAGCAAAAAGAATGCCTGATCAAAATGATGCTGATTCTGTGTGTTACAATCTTTTTGCCCACTACGGTGTCTACAGGGTTACAAGGGATGCCGTGCCAGCTAGAGTCCCAAGTCCATTCAACCAACACCCTAATCGATGAAGTTGGACTTGTTGAAACGGAAGTGGGACTGGACCAGTTGACATGGGGCGATGCTGACCTTCAACGGGAGCTTCGGCGCCTGAAGGACAACAGTTTGAAAATTCCGAACCTGAAATATATTTTCAAAATTGCCTTACTAAGAGTGATCCCCACCCTGACACACTATTCTGACATAGTTTCTGACATATCATCTGGACGTATATGTGGCACATATGTTCTGACATACTATCTTACATTCTTTTCTGAAATTCTATTTGACATT